AGGATATCAGATCGTGCCTCTTTCATAGTGTGTTTTTTGTTCTGTCCCCCCTCACCCCAGTCAGTCATGGCAGATGGCTGCCTGCCTGACACTGGTTTTGCTGAGGGCGTCTTCCTGTTAAAATGGAGTTTTTCCTTCCCACTGTTGCCAAATGCTTGCTCATAGGTGGTTCTCTGTTTTTTGGGGTTTTCTCTATATTATTGTAGGGCTTTTACCTTACAGTATGTAGCGCCTTGAGGTAACTGAGGTGACTATATAAGTACATTTTAATTCAATTGAACTGAATTGATTTTACATTGAAACACTGGTCCTTTAGTGCAGCTGTAACATGTAAAAACAGCAGTCAGATACAAAAAATAAAACTGCCACTTTTGCATTCAGAAAGATGTTTATTTTACTTAAGCTGTACAAGTGGGCTGTTTAAAATAGTAACTTTAAAAACAAATAATTTCAGTTTTTTTTTGTTTTGTTTTTTAATTTAGGTTCAATCCTCAAATCCCACCTCTTGTCTTCCTGTCTCTCTTTTTCCCTCACCAGATGATTCCAGTTCAAGAAATGGAGCAGGACCAGCCCACAGCGATTCTGAACATGCCCCAGAGCTTGCCGGGAAACTGGGTAAGCACTGGTGACTTCTCAGTTCTCATCACTATCGAGATATAAACATTTGAAAATAAGAAACAAGCTTAGAAGTGAAACCTGAGACAGCACGAGTAACAAGTACAGTAGCCGATTGTACAATAAACACCTTGCACACTGTCAAGAGGGGAAATGACGAGGGTTTCTGCCCACACGCAGACACACAAATACGCGCAGGCACACATCGGGGTGGCTGTTTGTGCAAGTAATTGGCTCTGACAGAGTGGAGAGCAGTCTATTTGTGTGAGGTGTGATTTGGGCGGACGCATTCCTTCCTTTCCCCCCTCCCAAGTGTTCCTGGACCCTCTTGTCGTGTAGCTTAACCCTTCTTTCTTTACTTGTTGTTATCACTTCATCAAACTCTCTCACCTTCACCTCTTTTTGCTCTGTCGGTTCAGACACACTTCTGCTGCACTTCTCATTTAAGCAACCAAACATATGTTTACAGGACCATTTATGGCATATTATCTAAACTGAATGATAATTCATCGTAAGTGCATGCACTAACACAACAGTTACACCATATATGGTATTACGCTTAAAACCTTTTTTCCCAGAGTTAAATGAAAAGTGAAGATAGTGGAAACACCGGCCAGTTATTTTCAGACATAAAAAGAATATTATCAAAATAAATCAGTTATATATTACTGGATACTCTGATACTAGGCTGTCATCTATCATACACACTGACTTTTTACTGGGAGAAGAAACAATAGGCAAGAGAGTGTGTTAGTTAAATTCAAGAATCCGAGGAGAGTAGTGTTCAAACGAACTTTCAATAAGCTGTCAATCAGAATCCAAACAGTTTTATTAACACCTCATAAATTTATAAAACCTTATAAAATTGAGATCATAACCATTTTTGTTAAAAAGCAGATAGATTTCTAGGAATCAGTTGGAGGCAGCCAGCAGATCTAACTAAATTTAATCTTTATATAAGATTAAAATTGTGTTTTTTTTATTCTTTTGAACAAATTTGTCCTTATTTTTCTTTATTTAAGAATCTAGTTGGTATTATTAGTCTTATTAGTCCTGAATCTTAACCCTAACTTATTTTAACCCTGCACAGAACTACTCGCGTTGGGAATTATCTCGTCTATCTCAGTATAGCATCTAAAATCCGTGCTGGATTTCATACGGCTCTTTCTGTCCCTCGCACGCTCTGTCCCACCGTGGCGCTCCTACTTTTGGTCTCTGGCACACGGTCTGATCAAAGGCAGTCAGTCGGCGGGTCAGCAGTATTTTTACACTGTGAAGTGTGGCGCTGAAGTGGCCCCCGAGACCCAGAACAAGCCTGCCCTTTTGCTCACTCTGGCTCTCACCTTCTCCCCTCTCTCGATCGTGGCTTTTTTTGTTCGCCCTTGCTTCTCTTGCCTCTGGTTTTTTTTCTTCTGCTCGTTCACGTGCCCTCTCTTTTACCTTTGCTTTTTATTGTTTTAACTCGGTCTCTTTATCGTTGCTTTTTTTAACTATCACTTTAAGTTTTATTTGTCTGTTCTTGGCAATCGATCAGTCTTCTGAAGCTGCTAACCTTAATATGAACTTCACTTTTTTGCCTTTCATCTGTTTTCCTCTTAACTTGTGTTTGATTTGGTTCATCTTCGACAGCATAAATCAGTTTATTTCCATTACACCTCGCCTCATCTTTATCCAGTCTAGTTCAACTAAACTTTCTTTTGGCTCTTTCCCAGACTTACCAGTTATTTTCAGTCCATGCACCGGTTGAATTTGTGTACCCATCAAAGCTGTACATTAAACTACGAATCATTGTCTCATCCAGGCTACTTTCTTTCCTCGCTCTCTGTTAGATATGTTGACTCTGTCTCGTCACAGCTCAGCTGTGGTCCGGTAGCTTTTCTCAGACTCAGGGTGCACAGAGGTGAGACTTAAAAGCCTTTCCGGTATGTTTGTTTTGTTATCCTGCCCAGCTTCAGGCCTGTCGGCAGAGAGCTGTGTTTCCACTGAGTAATGCAGCTGTACTGAAATCTCCTAATTTGATCGCACAAACCCGTCACATAACTCTTCTCCCTGTTTGTTTATCCAGAGCTAGAATAATAACTGTGTCTAAAGAAAGAGATGAAACTGCACTCGTTTCAGGGTGATTTACCTTCCCGGTTGATGAATATCTGCTGTGGCTAAAATATGAGGGCTGTAAAATCAAGCGCTCCTGTGAGTGATTTCCTCTCCTGTCTACTGCTTAGGTTTTTCTGTACCTCTTTGATCTGTTTTCACTGATTGTTATGCTTTTTAAATACGATGTGTATGTATGAATAGACTAGACTGAGGTATTGTCCAGCAATGAAATATTTGTGGTACTAAATGGAGTTAATTCTTGCATTCGGTAGAAGGATGTGGATGTTTGCTTTATGCATGGAATGAATGGCTGTTTGGTGTGATGCTAGGTCACTGTCTGCTTTTTATGACTTGTGCAATAACAACGAGTATTTAAAGTGATGCTACGCTCTTGCATAGCTGCTTTCTGGTTTTTAGAAAGCAGTTCCCATGGACGCTTGATTTCAAGTCCAATGCATGGCCTTTTTATGAGCAGGAGAGGGGTACCAATGTGGATCAGTGGAAAATGTGTGTTTTCAGTGATGTAAGTCTTCTGTGTCAGGGAGAAGAGGAAGTGATTCAAGTTTTTTTCTTAAACAAAACAATTAGGGTTTATTACAGCAAATTACACTGTGTATACCAAGAGGCACGTTGCCATATGTTGTTACAGCACAACATGGACTTCCTGGCACTGCCCGCAGAAATGACTTCAGTCTGCTTTACGCTCCTCGCACTGCAAAAACTGTACATCACTCAAGTCTCCGTCCTCGCTCAGTTAAATTTCGTTAACAGCAAAGCAGGTGATTTCATGGTGCATCGTTTATGATTATGAACAAGCTCTGGCAGTTGGAGGGACATAAAATGAATCTGTAATCCCAAACAAACATTTGTAATAATAAAAGGTTTTTAACAGCCCCATGGAGTGATTAAGTATCCAGAGATGGCATTTTGCAGTTATTCGTCAAAGAATGTGGAGGGGAAAAATAATAAATAATAAACATGTAACTGTAACATAAACATGTAACACAAACTGTCAGGTAGCATAACTGAAATTGTTATGAATCCACCAGTTCAGGAATGTTTTGCTGGTCGAAGCAACAAGATCTGTAAATTGACTCTGTAAACTATTTACGACTAATAATTTAATTTGCATCAGACCGTTTTCCCCACCTGCAGCTGACTAAGAGAGAGAATGAAGTGTTTGTTTCTGTATGTTTTTGAGTGGTTTCAAATCAAGCTTTATTTTCTTTCTCTAACTAATGAGGTTTTTTTTTTCCTTCTCTTTACTCTTGCAGTTCGTCCACGTTTCACTCAGCCAGCAAAGATGAGGAAACGCGTCATCGCGCGCCCAGTAGGCAGCTCTGTGCGCCTGAAGTGCACGGCGAGCGGTAATCCTCGCCCTGACATTGTCTGGTTGAAGGACAACAGGCCGCTGGTAGACGAGGAAAGTGGAGCAAGAGGGGAAGGGAAGAAGAAGAGATGGACTCTGAGTCTGAAGAATCTGACGCCGGAGCACAGCGGGAAGTACACCTGCCACGTCTCCAACAGAGCGGGAGAGATCAACGCCACCTACAAAGTGGAAGTCATACGTAAGTCACCAATGCTTGGTCTCGTATAGAGTACAGATTAGCTCAGGTTATCAGGTGATGCTGAACCACATTTTCAACTTTGGTAGCCATTAGTTGAAGCCTGATGTCAGGGAGTATTTTCCAAATGTGCTATCGTCCTTCTTAAAATAGCAGAGACCTTCCTCAAAGGTCAGAATACTATTACAGTATAAACAGGGCTAGTAAATAACTCATCACAAGTCCTTACTGCCAGTTAGTATGTAATGCTAAACAATGGTAACCCGAGGGCCACACTCAAGCTTTTTCTGGAAATTTCAAAGGCTTCATCAGAAATAGAGATAATGCTATTAGGAGCAACAGACACCCCATCACCCTGAATGAATGTGAAACAGCACAACTAAAGGGGGGCTCAGAGTGACCGGAGCCAACCCTAACTGGGAGTTTTATTTAAAAAGAAACCTTTAAACCTAGTTAAAAGGCTAGAAACAAGGTGTCTCCTTCTGGGAGGTGCTTCTGCAGGTAAAGCGATTAAGGCTCCGCCTCCCATTCAGAAACATGCTCGTAAAATGTTCAGTGTATGCGTTATACATGGCTATATGTGGTCGTCTCATGCTGTGACACATCAAAAAGCAAATTTTGGGGGAATGTGGCGTGCAAGTATTTTAGCATTCCTGCTGTTATATTATAGACCAGTAGGAATGTCTCTCACTGAAACAATAATACACATTATGCTGTACACATCATCGTTTTACTGAAAGGCCGGCGTGACAAAATAGCAGGGTTTGAAATGGGTTTTGTTTCCAGTCTTACTCGCGGTACAGTGATTATGCAGGATGTCTAAGATCATGTGATCAAAATCACTATAATTAACTTTTCAGCCATTTAAATGATTTGTTGTCAAAGAGTCTGCTGCCAGGAAGCAACCGCTCATGCTCACATACAGGCTTTATTGAAAGAGAGAATGACATTAAGATGGGAGTCATTAGCAGAT